ATTTACCAGCGAATGATAACATTTCGTTCTTCTTCATGGCTGCATAAAATTCCATTGTGTATAGATACCACATTTTCTTAATCCATTCGTCAGTTCCAGGTACTTTTTTAAAAAAAAAAGGTTCTTTCCCTTTTTTGCAGCACTGAGGTTTGAACTCAGGGCCTCACACTTACTATGCAGGTGCTGTACTTCTTGAGCCACACCTCCAGCTGTCTCTGGATACCTTTGAGAAGTAAAAATCATAGAATATTTGTCCTTTTATGAAAGGCTTATTTCACTTAGTGTAATGACATCAAGGTTTGTTCATGCAGCATGGGTCAGGATTTCTCCTGCATTGAGGAACACTTGCTTCTGGTTATTCTGAGTAATGCTACTATGAATATATATGTTTCAATATTCTATGTTCAGTTCTCTTATGTATATACTCAGAAGCAGAAGTTTAGATTAGATGGTAATTCTATATTTTATTTTCTGATGAATTGCTGTCTGTGCCCCTAAGAAAAAGGCTAGATTATAACTGAGCAAACATTCCTTAGGTGAACATATTTGTGAATGAAGCTCATGTAATGACCAGTGATGACTCACTTTTAAAGGAACTAAAGTGGATTTTCTAGACAAATGCCTACCAAGCCTTCCCAGGAAAACTGACCTGGGCCCTGACTTACAGGGTGGTAGAGAAGGTGACTGCCTGTCAGGCCCAGGAATTTAAGGTATTTGGGGGACACGAAGAGACTGAGGGTACAAAGGGACAGTGGCCAGCCCATATACAGAAGGAGAACTCTGACCCCAGCCTGCAGCAGCCAGCTGTGCCTAGGATGCCAGCCTGCCATGGCTGCCTTGAGGGAGCCAAATTGCTATCTTGAGTGACGATCCAGGAACCCAAACAGTGTCTTCTAGAACTACCAATCAGCCCAAGTGGCCAGGATTTAGTTGAAAACCGACAGCTTCCCTAAATTTTCCTGTTTCCAACTTGGGGCCAAACAGAGGAAGCCAAACAGGCCCCTAAGTAATCAATGGGGGGCCTGGCTTCTCGGTAGCACCCTGCAACTTCTGGGCCAGCAGCCTCCTGAACCACACACCTGAAGCCACACGCAGATGGCGATTGTGGGACTGAATCCTGCTATGAAGGCTCTGAGCCCATGGCCTTTGCTCTTCTCATTTGCTCCTCAGAGGAATTCCCACATGCCTACACATCCTGTGTGAAGCCAGTGTGTCTTAGGTTTGGGTTCCTCCTCTCAGGACAGCAAACAACAGGTTTTTGAAGTCCGGTCAGTCTATAGCCTTGCCACCCTTGAACCAATGACCTGGTGTCTCCATCTGTCCACACATGCTTGTGTCGTTTGCTTCTGGCCCTCTTTCCTGCCAATCTGTGCCAAAGCCAGCCCTGGGGGCACCTTCTCTGGACTCCCCAGTAGAAAGGTCAGAGTCAGTCTCCAGCTGTGCAGGGTGCCTGAGGTTACTGTGAGTACCTGGGACGGGAGGTGGGCAGTGCCCATGGTCCTCACTGGCTGCCTGACCTGGTTGTGGCGGGCCTCCTTCCTGGCTTCCTCCTTTCTTCCCTGAGGCAAGTTTATTGTCTATTTTTCATTCCCTATGTGTTTAGCAATCTTATGAAATTGCCAGTATTTGTTTTTGTCTTACAAAGGACTGTTTTCATTTGGTTCAACCTGATACTGTGTGTAAACACATATATACAGGGAATACTTACTTTTTTCTTTTTTTTCAAAATAAGATCTCTCTATGGCCTTAAACTCAAGATCTCCCAAGTATAGGAATTACAAGTGTGTACCACTCTACCAGGCAGACAGGTGTTTCTTAGATAGGATTGTCCTATTCAGACTTGCATAGAAATTTCTGCTCAGTCTCTTTTGGACTTACTTCTATACAGATGCATGTACAGATCCATCATTGTTTTTAATACTTTTATGTACCTTCCACTGTATGGACATCCTTTTTATTAATCATTGTTTTAATTGTGCAACTTCGTGGAGTACAGTGTGGTAATTTGGTATAGGTAACAGTTAAATACTGGTCAAGTCAGGGTAGTTAATGTTTTCCGTTCCTTGCCATCCCTGTGCACTTAGAGCCTTCGAGCCCCTCTCTTCTAGTTGTTCATAACCTACCATAGGTTATTCTGAACCACAGTCACTCTGTTGTTCTGTGGAATACTAGAACGCATTCCTTCTGAGTATGGGCTCCCACGTTCCAGCCTCCCTCCAGCCCCCTTCGTCCCACCCTCTGTAGCCTATAGGAATCATTATTCTGTGTTTAGGTTGGCAGTTGACTGGGGAATCAAACTCAGGGCCTCTAGAATGCTAGACAAGTGCTCTACCACTGGGACTAACTTGTTTTTAACGTTTATATGAGAGAACATGTATTTATCTTTCTGCAGCTGACTTACGTCCTACAGTTCCATCTATTTTGCTGCAAATGATAGGATATTGTTTTTCTTTATGGTAGAATAATACTCCACTGTGTACATAAACCACATTTTCTTTATCCTTTCATCTGATGATGGGCACCTGGGCCAATTCCATAGCTTGACTATTGTGAATAGCGTACTGATAAGCATGGGTATGCAGGTATAGCTGTTGTTTGCCAACTCAGATTCCTTCAGGTGTATACCCAGGATTGGTGTGGCTGGATCATGGTAGTTCTGGTTTTAGTCTTTTGAGGAGCCTCCATACTGTTCTGCATAGTGACTGCACTAATTTGTATTCCCAGCAGCGGTGAGTGTGAGTGGTGTGAGCATACTTTTTATGGACGTATTTTTAACTCAGTTCTCAGTTGACTTTTATTTATTATTTATTTATTTATTTATTTAGGCGGTACTGGAGTTTGAACTCAGGGCCTCATACTTGCTAGACAGGGCTCTACCACTTGAACCACTCCACTAGCCCTATTTTGTGTTGGGTATTTGTGAGATAGGGTGTCACTTTTTGTCTGGGTTGTCCTTGACTTTGAGCCTTCTGATCTCTGCCTCCCAAGTAGCTAGGATTATAGGTGTGATCCACCACACCTGGCCTGAATGATTTATCTGCCCATTGAAGCCACATGGCCTGGTGGGACAGCCCCACCTGGCTGTCATTTACTAGCTCTATTGACTCAAAAAACTACCCCATTAAGTCAGAATCTGCTCAGCATCATTGTGTGGAGTGAAAGAAGTCTTGGAGTTCACTGAAGAAATAGGTTGGAGCTTTTGTTGTTGAAGGAATGACTGTGGTAGTGTAAGACTCCCTGGAAACTTGTAGGTGTACTTTCTTGGCAGAGTATCCTCTTAGGGGAAACTTACTAGTTAATATAAGTATTTACTGTAAGATAATCCATGTGCCAAACTGCCCATCTGCCTGGTCCATGAGCTCTTACTGACCCTGGACAGCTGTAGGCATAGGCCCTGAAAGGTCTCTACAATGAGGACTCCAGAGTTTGCTCACGGGCCTGCTGCCCATGGCTCTGTGCAAAGGAACCCAGGTGGAGCACTGGCTGGGTAGGGGCGATGGTGACCCCCGAGCCAGGCCAGAATCTTCCATTCTTCCCAGAGGACCCCACAAGGGACCATGTGGCAGGAAGCAGCCACCTATCCTGTGTGTGTGTGTGTGTCCTCTTCCAGGCTGTCACCCAGGACACCTGTGAGCCAGAAGTGAGTTGGAGTTCTCCAGCACTGCCGGTGCCATGGACCCTGAGGTCAGACACTGATATCTTTTGGAGGGATGCCCAGGGGAGGGGGAGCGAGGGGCTGAGGGTCACCTTGCTCTTCAGTATGCTCCTGAGGAGTGCATGTAGACTGTAACAGAATGGGGGGAGGGATGGGGTGGTGAGGGTGTGTGTCTGTCTCAGTATGCACTGTTGAATGTCCTTTCAGAAGGACGAGTGGTGTGGCTTCCAGGGCAGTAGCTAGAAGGCCTGAGACAGTGGGGGCAGCATAGATGCCAGCTGCACGAACAGAACAGACTTGTTGGCCTGTTGCTGGCGTGGCGAGTATTCTGTTTGGTGTCATGTAAACCTGCCTGCCCTACCCCTTGTTGCCCTCCCAAGTGATCCTACTCCTTGCACGATGGCATCCCAGGACACCCCTTTCTCAGGTCCACTTCTCCTCACAGCCTTTTCCTGCAGGGAGGTTGGGTGGAGTTACCCCATTGTTTTCTCTTCTTTACCTTCAAGGCGAGATGCTGAGATACAGTAGTTGCATAGTTTTCCCAGTGCCCCACAGAGTTGGGATCACCATGAAAAACCGAACACTTTTCTCTTGCATTTTGGCATTTGGCCTTTTTTCTCTTCCTTCATCATGGCTTGCATCCTATTGTAGGTGTTTCTGACTTTTTTTTTTCAGTTTTAAAAATTATGATAAAATATACATAGCATAAAAAATTTACCATTTAAACTATTTATCCCACATTTTATTAGCACATGTTAATTGTATAATGGTGGGAGTTCATTGTGACATTTCCATACATGCATGTACTGTACTTTGATCATACTCACCCTCTGTGTTACTCTTTCTTTCCCCCCTCCCTCCCCCAGGCACAGTCCAAGGATATGAAGTGCCTTCATGTTGTGTAGCCATCACCACCCATCCATCTCCAGAATTTCCCATCTCTTTCCCCAATAAGCACTAACTTCTCATTCCCAGTTCCTGGAACCCACATTCTGCCTTCTGCCTTCATGAGTCTGCCTCTTCTAGGACCTTGGATGTGTGGAATCATGCAATATTTGTCTTTTGTGACTGACTTATTTCACTAGTCTAATGACCTCAGGGTTCATCCATTCTGTAACATTCGTCTTTGACTTTTTTTTTTTGGTGGGGGGGCGAGTATTTGGGAAAAACAGAATATTTTGGGTACCAAACCAATTTATCAAACAATTGGGGAGTTTCCATCCTTTTTTTCCTCATTAGGACTTCCTTTATTTCATGAGAAGTGTCCTTGCCTCCTTTACATCGGTTTCTTACATCCAGTGGGATTTCCTATTCTCATTCCTTTTAACATATTTTTTCCTGTGATCTAAAAAGGTAAATCTCCCTTTCTCTGAGGATTCAGTTTTTAATCACTTGAAGATCATAAAAAGGGCATAATTGCATACGTGGCCCATCACAACTCTGTCTACTTTTGGAATGAAATATCCCCGTCTCCCAGGCCACTTCCTGGATACATGTCATCCACACAGGGGCCTGTTCTCTGCTTCTAGCTCCTCAACATTTGCTTCATGGTCACCCACTCATGGCTCTCTAACAGATAAAGGTCTCCCCTTTCCCTCCTGGCCAGCTCTATTCTTATTTATGTGGGACACACAAAGATCCCTGAACTTGAATTGGATAACCTCATCCAGCATGGTTGCTGGCACCCTACTCTCCACAAAGACTTGGTACCACCACCCTGGATCAAAAAGAAGTCCTTGGGTGAAGGCCAGACCATAGGAACAAAGTAGCACAAGTTGAGCTCTGGGCCAGAAGTGTAAAATCAGTGTCATCAGGCGGGTTCTTCCAGGGGCCCCGCCCAGCCACATGGTTTTCAGAGGCCAAGCAGTGGTGGGAGACTCACCTGCAGAACTCTAGCTCTCTCTGATGTCTGCTGGTAGCATTGCTCACAGTGGTTACTGCAGATGGAAACTTTGCTCCCTCAGTCCTCTGGCAGGGTCCTTGTGTCCACAGGGGTATCCAGCCCTCATGGGCCAGTTACATTGCTCCCTGGGAGCCTTCTGCTTGCTTGGCTGCCTCTGGCCACAGCCCACGTTTCCAGAAGCCCCCATGACTCCCCTTTCATCCTAGGTCAGCAACGGTTCATGCCTTGGGAAAGAGTGCATCACAGACCTGCTGGTGTTTGGCTTCCTCCAAAGCCACTGTGATAAGTTCTACCAGGAGCTGGAGGTGTTGCGCCAGGAGCTGCCCGGGCAATTTTACCTGTGTGGGGGCTGGGATGATGAGCTGCAGACAGATGGCAACCGGGCCAGCCGCTCCTATGGGGGAAGAATAGAGGCAGGTAGGCACCGGGCCCCACTTCTTCACCCCAACCCTCATCTTTGCCATCACCAAGGGTTGCAGGGGACCTCTGGATTCAGCCTCCACCCCTACAGTTCCAGGCCACCAGACACATTCACTTCATTTCCTCCTTTCGGGAATGACTGAGGAAGTTCTTCCTTCTTCTTCTTCTTTTTTTTTTTTTTTTTTTTTTTAATTTTTTGTTAGTAGTGGACCCTTGTATTTGCCAGGCAGGCGTTCCACCACTTGAGACACATCCCAGCAATTTTTCTGTAGGTATTTTTCAAATAGGGTCTTGCTTTTTTTTCCCGGGCTGACCTGCCACAATCCTGCTATTCCTGCTTCCTGTGTAGTTGGGATGACAGATGTGCACTGCCACACCCAGCTTTTATTGATCAAGATGGGGTCTGTTGAACTTTTTCCCAGGGCCAGCTTTGAATGTCAGTTCTCCTAATCTCAGCCTCCTGAATAGCCCTGATTACAAGTGTGTGCCACTGTGCCAGCTAAGAGAAAGTCCTTCCTTCTATGAGCCCCATTCTCCCTTTGTGTGCTGGTTCTGAGTCTCCTGTCTGGACCAATATAAGAGTGTTTTTACCATACTTCCCAAGCAATTCTGATATCATCAGAGGCTAGGAACCACTGCTATGGATTTGTAGCCCAAGGGAGTCTCCAGTTCTGAGCTTAAATAATTTGAAGGACCCAGGGAGCTATAGAAAGTAGTCTGATTTGGTAGGTTTGGGGAGTCACTGGTCTGGGGAGGGTCCCCAGAAAACTCTTAACACATCCCTGCTGCACCTGAGCAGGCCTAGCTGAACCTCTAACTAGTAAAATCCACATTTTTTTTTTTTTTGGTGGAACTGGGGTTTGAGCTCAGGGCTTCATGATTGCAGAGCAGGCGCTGTACAGCTTGAGCTATACCTCCAGTCCATTTTGCTCTGGTTGCTTTGAAGATGGGGTCTCAGGAACTATTTGCCCATGCTGGCCTCAAACCATGTTCCTTCCTGTCTCACCCTCCCATGTAGCTAAGAATACAGGTGCGAGCCACTGGTGCCTGGCTAAAATCTACATTTTTTATAGCAACCTTTATATCCTAGGTAGCACCTTCAACCTTTAATACACATTCTGACTTGCCATCACCTGTAAGATTACTTGAACACTGAAGTATTCTGAACCTCATTTGCAAATGAGGAAACCGAGGCTTAGGGGAGGGTAAGTGACCCCTGAGTGTGGCAGAGGCAGGACTCAGGCCTGGCCACTGGGTGAGCTGGGCCCAGTTGCCCTCGTACTGTACCTCTACCGCTTCCAGGCTTACTACCTTTCCTGACCCAACCCTAATCCTGAGCTTTCTCCCAGCCTCCATTTTTTATTTATTTATTTTTTGCAGTACTGAGGATTGAACTCAGGGCCTCCTGCCTGCTAGGCAAATACTCTACTACCTGAACCATGCCCCAGTCTTTTGGTTTTAGTTTGTCTTTCAAATAGGATCTCATGCTTTTGCCCAGGCTGGCCTCAGACCACAAGTCCTCCCACTTCCACCTCCCAAGTAGCTGGGATTATAGATATGTACCACTATGCCTGGCTTTTTTTATGGGGGGGGTACTGGGATTTGAACTCAAGGCCTTATGCTTGCTGGAATTTGAACTCAGGGGCATGACTCAAGTGCTCTACCACCCCTGGCTTGTTTTTTGAGATAAGGTCTTGCTAACTTTTACCTGGACTGGCCTCAAAGCATGATTTTCCTACTTCCTAAATAGCTGAGATTACAGGCAAACCCAGCCCCATCCTCTATTTTTACTTCCCTTTGTCTCTAGTGCTACATCTGTAGACAGAGGTGTGCTGTGCTGAAGGCTGAGGGAGAAAGCCTGGGAGTGTGTTGAAGGTCAACCCCTCTTGTATCCAGTTCAGAACAGTGGTTTATTTTTGTGCACATTAGGGTTACATGAAGAACTTCTTCAAAATGTGTGGCCCTGGGCCCTAGCTGCCCAAGTCAGCATATTCTCAGGTGGGAGACTCCTAGGTGATTCTGAACCTAGATGGAATCAGTGCCCTTAAAGCCTACAGTGTTTGCAAAGACCTCGACCCAGGCCTTCCAACCTCGAGGGCCAAACTTGGTATCTGTCCTTAAATCCAGCTGCCCAGAATTTGGGCACAGAGGCTGCACTGCCCTCTGGTGGCCATGGGGAAGACAAGCATCTGGTCCAGCCTTTAAAAGCCTTCAGCCCTATTTTAAATCTGGTGTGTGGGGAGATGGCAGGTACTCCCCACTAGCCAAGGTGTGCCACAGATTTTCTGTGCGTTTGAATCTAGCTAACCTATCTTTTGGCTGGCCCAAAATTGCCTAGAAGCACCTGCTCACTTTTGGAAATGTCTGAGCATGACTGGACAGCAGTGGGCAGGACTGGCTTTGCTTGCCAGGACTGCTGCAACAAAAGTACAGCCAGGGTCCATCCCCTGCACTTTTCTCCTGTCGTTCTCTTTACCACTTCTTCCCTTTAAACTAAAAAACCTGGCTTGACCCAAATGGCGATTGCAAAAGTGATGGTGGAGCAGTCCACTTGACCTCACTTTGCTGTGGGAGAAAGATGGCTTATAGATTAAGTACCCGCAAACAGATGCATCTGTGTGTGCCTGGACACAGTGAATCAGACATGATTGTTGAGGTTGCGGAGCTGGCCAGAGGGAAGGGGGACATGCACATGAATCATGAACCAAGGTGGAAAGGCAACTTAGGTGAGGCACAGGTGAGTCCTGGCGGAGCTGCAGGGAGTCAGGAGGAACGCCATGGCTGCAAGTGCAATTGAGCTAGGCCTAGAAGGATGGGCACAATGTAGTTCTTTGCAAAGTGGGAAGAGGGAGTAGCATGGCCTAAGCAAAAGCCTGAAGATGCAGAGCCCAGGACTTATGGAAGGTGCAGTGAATAGCTGAGTTTGGCAACACTTGAACAGAGTTGCAGAATTGGAGTCAAAGGGAACTGGAGGGTAGGTAGTGGCTTGTCACTTAAGCAGAAGTGAGAATGGGAAAGGTGCCGAGTAGAATAGTGATGTAATGTCCGTACAACATGTATCAAGGTCAAGACTATAGTGAGACACTGGAGGTGAGGCTTGCATGGCATGCGTGAGGCCATGTGATCCCTGGCAGTGCAAAAAGGAACAGAAAGAAAAAAAGACTGCATGAGGCAAACTAGACACTAGAGCACAGGACTGAAGGAGGCCCTCATTCCCAGGCTTTTCCCATGGCCTCCTTAAATCTGGCCCAGTGCCCTGTTCACACTCAGCTCCTTCCCCTTCTCCTGGGTCTGAGATAGGTAGCATAGGAGAGATGATGTACCTGTTTTGTAAGATAGGGTCTTCCTCTCCTGAGGGAGGAAGCATAAGGTCTGCAGCATGTCATCGATAAATAAGAAGTCAGAGGGAAGTTACAAACACAGAAGAGAAATACAGGATTTAATGGGAGGATAATAGTGGCATTCACTGAGCACTTACTGTCTATTGAGCACTTGCTGTTAACATGCACTGATTTTACATGCTGGGTATTTGACAGTAAATGCAACAGATTACAGACTTTCAGATTTTAGGAGGCTTATATTTTGGCAGGTGTGTCAGACAAATAACAAGTGGGTAAAATGTATACAAGTGCCAAGGAAGAAAAGGGAAAGGACTGGGACAGAAAGAAAGAGGGAAGGAAGGAGCCCTGCCACTGAGTGGGCAGAAGAGGCAGCTTGAGGGGAGGCCAGTGAGGCTGGAGAGGGAGAACAAAGGGCAGTTAGTGAGGGGTGGGGCACGTGGCAGGGCCTGAGAGGTGCTGCAGAGCCTTGGCTTTACTGAGTGAGACAGGACTGGGAGAGGAAGCCCACTGCCCCCCAGAAGAGGTTGGGGGGAAGAGATGGGGACACTACAAGGTCTCCAGGGCAGGAAATGGTGGAGGTGGGACACAGACGCCGGCTGAGCCTCTTTGCTAACAGCTTCTAAGGCTGCCAGTCTTGTCCATGGGTGTAGTCAGGAGTGCTGCATCCTATTTTTTGGCATCGCTGAGTCTGCAGGGAGAGGCCTGCTTCTCCAGCTGTCAGCCTTTTCCTGAACCCAGTGGCATGACTGGGTCACAAGTCCTTATACCTCTACTCAAGAGCAGAGCCAACGCTGGGCAGGGACACTGTGGAGGACATGCTGTGGAGGCAGGAGCAGGACTTGATCCAAAGCGGAATCCTTTTCCTGTTTCTGAGGTGGGGAAGAGTGTGGAACAGGGCCATTGTCTGAATCTTCATCTTTGCTGCCCTCTGCCTGAACGTTCAGATTCTGAAAGTCAAGAAGAAGTCATCCAGAACATTGCCCGGCATCTTGCCCTAGTAGGGGACGAGATGGATCGCAGCATCCACCCGTCACTGGTGAACAACCTGGCAGCACAGTTCATGAACCGCAGCCTGCTGGAGGAAGTAAGTGAGGGACAGCAGCTTCCAGCGCCTCTCATCCCCTCCGCCCAGCCACTTTAAGGCATTTAATCAATGTCCTTTTCTTACTTACCACTGGGGACTGTCTTTGTTTTAAGAGGGGAGGATATTAGTAAGCTGTCTGTCTCTACCCTTGTGCAGGACAGAAGGAACTGCCTGGCTACTGCCCTGAAGGAGGTGGCACAGACCTTCCCGAGAGACATGGAGAATGAGAAGGCCATGCTGATAATGACCATGCTGTTGGCCAGAAAGGTGGCCGATCACACACCGTCCCTGCTTCGTGACGTCTTTCACTCCACAGTGAACTTCATTAATGAGAACCTATTTGCCTATGTGAGGAACTTAGTCAGAAATGTAAGAACCAGTGACACCAGCACCTTGCAAACTCAGTCTTCTGGTCCTCTGCTGCCTACCTATTCCCTCTGCTCCCTCGGCCCTCTCATTCCTCATCTCCCTGATGACCAAACCATAGAAAAGCTGCTGCAAGGATGTGCTGTTCTCAAAGGGGAGGTGAAGCCATTTCTCACTACTGACCGAATCCTAGCAGTATGGTGTAGCTATGTGGAGCACAAAGGTGGCAGAGAGGCCAGATCTGAGCTTCCTCAGGCTTCCCTTTACTGTCATAAACATAAGTGTAACTTAAATTCTTTAAACACATGCTTACCAAGGATGATGGAGAGAGAAATCAAGAGGAATAGTCAATAAAGACTATTAAAGATCTCCCACAAACAGGAAGCACATTTGTCCTATAGCTAGGATATTATCGCTCCTGCCAGGTGCCAGTGGCTCATATCTATAATCCCAGCTACTAGCTACTCAGGAGGCAAATAGTTTGTGAGACCCTCTCTTGAAAAAAAACCCATCACAATAAAGGGCTGGTGAGGTGGCTCAAGTGGTAAAAGAGTGTCTGCCTAGCAAGCATGGGCTCTGAGTTCAAACTCCAGTGCTGCCCCCCCAAAAAAGTCTATTTTGTGCAGTACTGGGGCTTGAACTCAGGGCCTACACCCTGAGCCACTCCACCAGCCCTTTTCTCGTGATGGGTTTTTTTGAGACAGGGTCTCAGAACTATTTGCTGGGGCTGGCTTTGAAACATGATCCTCCTGATCTCTGCCTCTTGAGTAGCTAGGATTATAGGCATGAGCCACCAGCACCTGGCTTAAGTCAGTCTCAATGAGATTGACAAGTAGAAGCCAGGTAGATATATCTTATGTGCAGATTTAAAAATACTATTGAGGATTTGGGATTTTATGACTCCAGAAGCATTACTCAGGCCTCCCTTAGGTTTTTTTTTTTTTTTTTAAACATTTTCTTCATGCGTATAAATTCTTTGGGCCGCCTCTCCTCCCCTGCCTCCCACCACCCTACCCCCTCCTTAGTTTTTAAATAAAATAGTATCTAACTCTTTAATAGTTATTGATAGGCCTTAACAATCTTCTAATGTTTTGTGGTCTATAGTTTAGAGGCAATTCTACAAATATGAAGGTTAATGTAAAACTCAAACCGTGTTAAATCAAGCTGAGCTGTTAGAACATTGTGGGCCTGAGAAAAGTCCCTGGACAGCTTTTACCAACAGCCATTTCAAGGAGTGAGGCAAGATGTCAGCTGAAACGATTATGACTCTTCTGGCCTTCTAAGGTGCCTCTTGATACCTTGAGTGATTCAGATGTGAACATCTAGCTCTGAGTATTTGGAAAGCCTGTTTTTCAGCTGCCCCTGTGTAGTAGAAGTTTTCAAGCAGGGACATATGGACCACATGAGAATGTTTTTGCAGTAGCCTAGCTTTGCTTCTGTTGATTGTGGCACTGGTGTTAGTTTTTGTTTTGTTTTTGGCGGGACTGGGGTTTTGAGTTACACTTAAAAGCAAGTGCTTTGCCACTTGAGCCACACCCCCAGCCCATTTTGCTCTGATTGTTTTGAAGATGGGGGTTTTACAAAACTAAACTATTTGCCTGGATTGGCCTGGACCCTTGAACCTCCTAATCTCAGCCTCCCAAGTAGCTAGGATTACAAGTAGCCACTGGTGCCTGGCTGGCACTGGTTCTTAAGTACCAACTTCTGGCTTGAGAATTGGATTGGCTAATTCTGCCGCTTTTCCTTTCCTGCTTAGGAGATGGACTGATTGGGTGCCTGTGAAACATGACTGGCTGAAACCGGTGACAGCAGTGTAGCTGCTTCCAGAGAAGGAGCCATGGCCACATAAACAGACGTCTGGCAGAATACCAGCCCCGGACAGTAGCTCTTGCTCCCCTATTTTCAGGATAATGTTTTAGGCTGGCGACCTATGTAGAAATAGTTACATTGAGATACCTGAATGAAAATGTCAACTTGCATATATTTGCAGGGCTTTCAAGCCCTCTCCTACATCTATACTTTGCCTTTATGCCTTTATTTCAGCTGTACAGGTTCTCACTGGAAAATTAAATTTAAAAGCAGGTTATAAGGCAGAAGAAAACACAATTTTTTTTTTTGTCTAAAAAAATTTATTAAAGTACAACCTTGGGGCATGGTCTTAACAGTAGGCAATATCCTATTGAGAGCCATGCTTGGAGGAAAACTGCATAACCCTTTCCTCCCCTTTTACAAGTGAAACAAAACAGAACATCATAATACCAAGGAGGGATCAATCTTCCTGTATAAAAACCAAATGGCACACAGGTTTGGAACTAAGGTGCTGTTCCCAAATCACAGGAAACACAGGCCTCCATCCAAGGTGTTTGTCTTGATTGCCTTTGAGTCGAGAAGAATCAGGCAGAGCTGTGAGGGTGATGTAAGGGTCCACGTCAGCCACTGTCTCTTCAGTGGCCAAATACATGTTTTCAAGGCTTTGATAAAACTCCTAAGCTGATGGACTGTCATTAATAATAGCCTTATATTGTCACTTTTCAGTCATACCTCATCTCATCCATGCCTGGAAACTGTATCTGGTGGGAACAGGCTTCTAGGGATCAAAGATGAAAGTGCAGTTAGACTTTTAAAACTCAGCAGCTGGGGCTGGGAAGCAGCTCAGAGGTACAACACCTGCCTAAATGTACAAGGTCTTGGGTTCAATCTCCAGCCCTGGGAATTAAAAAGAAAAAAAAAGGCAGCTAAAAGTGGTTCCCTTTTCTAGGGTCAGTCAAAACTCAATTCCCAAGTCTCCTGGGGGTCCATGCTACATGCGTCACCTTTGGTAGTCCGTGATGCTTTGGGAAGCACACAAGTAATGAAGCACTAATAAACCATTCCTGTTACGATATCCCCTTTTCTGTTCCTTAAGAATTTAAGTTTATCAGAAAAACCACTCTACACCAGTCAGCATTAAATATACACCCACACTAGTGCTGAATTCAGCCTGACGTGGGCAAAAGGTTACAAACCCTTAAAAGCAGACAGGTGCCTGCAGTAAGAAGGCACCATTTGGAAATAAGCCTTCCAGTAATGCTATTATTTTTAATGTTTTGAAGTGGAAAGAAGCTGAATTACATATACAGTTGCATATATGGTCAGTCATTACAGATTCTCATTGGGGGGCATAATTTCTTCCAAAGGAAGCAACATAAATCAAATCTAAACTAATGGAAAAGAGATCTGAAACTGAATGGTCCCAGACTCTATCATCTCATGTTTAATCATTCACAGCATCTCCAGCTCCTGCTGTTTCACTTAATAGGCCACCATTTTAATAAAGTTTAAACAGAGCCAGCTCATGCCTGTAATCCTCGCTACTCAGGAAGCAGAGAGCAGCAGGATCAAGGTTCAAAGCCCAGCCCTGGCAAACAGTTCATGAGTCCCTATCTAGAAAAAAAACCCATCACAAAACAGGGCTGGCAGAGTGGCTCAAGCAGTAGAGCGCCTGCCTAGCAACCCTAGCATGAGGCCCTGAATTCAAACCCCAATACCACCAAAAAAATAAAATTTAAAAAAATGGAAGTTTAAACAGGTCTTGGTGTACCTTTTACCAGACCAAGTATGATGTACTTATTGATTGTAAAGCAAGATTACCACCCCTCTCCTCTAGCTAACCTTATAAAAGTCCATGCATCAAAAAGCACATCCCAACCATGAAGACTTTTTCTAGTAATAATCCTTGTGTGACTTTAATTCAGAGAATTTTGTCATCCTGTCTTAGAAATATTTAAGTGACAGAATGTCCTTTCTCAAAGATAAAACGCTTTCTGTTCAGTGTGATGCCTGGCATATCTGCATCAGGTGGACTATTTGGATTTGGTAACATTCAGGAAGTCAGCGCACCCCTGACCTCAGTGCTCCGAAGTCAGCATAAATGTGCTCAAGGCTGTCTGAAGGGTCACAGCCCTAAGACTGGCTTCGCCTTCCAGAAACTTCACAGCTGTGCCGGCTGGGAACTAGACTATCTTTGAGCATCAGGATCATGTTTCAGAACCTGGAGCAACTGCGTTATGTACTAACAAAACTACGTGATAGATTATCTGCAATGAGCCCACCTACGGAGTGTACTTTGCCACATGTACAGAAAGATGAGTCACTGGTTATCTTCTAATCTCACTTTATTGCCACCTCCACCATGTTCTCCCTGGAAGGCACGGCTCATAAGACTTGAATTTTGTTCCTTTCCCCAATGAAGAATGGACTGACCAGAAAATGGGCAACAGGAGTGCACAGGAGGAGCTGGAGCAATTCACAGTAATAAACTCGAGTGAACTGGAGCTGTAGCAAGCAGAACTAATGAAACACACAGAAAAAGTAAGATGGTTATGTTAATTACCAAAGTTAACCATTTAATTTCAGTACTTTGGGGAAGATGAAGGTACTAGAACCAATAATAAATTGAACTCAATCAAAGTATGAGTTATGTAAAGAGAGGCACTTTTAATTTGAAGGAAACAAGACAGAAGACTACAATAGGAAAACAGGTCTAGTAAAAAATTCTGTCTTTTCCTATTGGTGCTGGCCAATGGCCTGTGTGTACAATATACTTCTCTTGCTAGAAACCAGGAGCAAACGACCTATTCCAGAAAGGAAGATGGGCTTCAACTTTCTCTTCTTGGGAAGAAGGCAACAAACCAGTAACCTTAAAATGTCAAAGCCTCTGTTTAAATAGTATATTCGAGAACCAGTTCCTTCTAGTGGTGCAAAGAACCACTGAAGTGAGCAGCCTTTCCCCTCAGGTGAGGCAAGGACAGGGTGAATCCTCTCAGCACACTGCTGCTTTTAACTTAGGACAAAGCCTTGCTAACAAGGGTGACATTCCACCCTGAGCAACACTGAAGCTAGCTGAAGGGCCAGGCTCCTTCATAAACCAAGATATGAAGAACCTGATGGTTTTCTCACACAGGAACATGGCAAGCCAGGCTGAGGTCAAGAAGCCATGTGTGTTAGTTCCCAACTCCCCATGGAGCTTCTTTATAAATGAGGTAATTACAAAATATCATACTACAGAACTGGCACTTTATAATCAAGGTCAGAACGGAAAGGATTTCCCTGAAGTGCTGTCGGTAGGGCAACCCTGAGCTGGTGGGGGCGAAGCAATGCCTGCTGGTATATTCCCCACCTCCCTCCACATCTCCACCCTAGGCTGATACCTCAACAGGAAAAGGGATGGGGATCAAAAATGAGAAAAGAGACATGTCTCATGTGCTGCCTTCACTGTCTCCTTGGTACCTGAGGATGACTCCTGTGTGTGTGTCAGTAGGATTACTGGCTTGAGCTACCAGCACCTGAGAAAAGACCAGTTTGAATGCTTTCCCCTTCTGCATTTTTTTCCCTTCTTTTTTTGGTAGCACTGGGGTTTGAAGCCAGGCCCTTGCGCTTGGTAGGCAGGTGCGCTTACCTCTTGAGCCACTCTGCCAGCCCGCTCCATCCCTTTTTTGCATTAGCGATTTTTAGGATAGGGTCTTGTGTTTTTCTCAGGGATGGCTTCAGACTATAATCCTCCTACCTATGCCTCCCCCATAGCTGGGACTTACAGACATGCATCACCACACCTAGGTTATTTTGTTGAGATGGGTTCTTTTTGCCAATGCTGGCTTGACTGTAATCCTCCCAGTTTCTACCTCCTGAGTAGATGGGACTACAGGTGTGTACCACCATGCCTGGTCCTTATACCTATTCTTAATCCATTCAGTATCTAAAGGAAAGATACTCAGTGCAATTAGAAACATTGAACATAAGCTTCACTTACTCTTCTATAACAGAACAGGTTCAGTACTTAGACCAGCCTATATTGTATAGAAATTAGAAAAGGGCTGTAGTGAGCAGAGCAGACTCCATTATGGAATTTGCAGCCTCTTATACCAGTCTGCCTTGTGCAATAAAGTTAGCAGAACTGTTTGCAGAAAGCTTTCCAAAACTGTTTTACAGGATACAAAACTGGCAAAAAGTGCTAGACTTGGAACCAGAAAACTCAAACATCACTGCCTTGCCTCTTATATGCTATGACTTTATGAAAATTTTGAGTAGGTTTCTTCTAATCTGTAATGTAGAAAACCAAGAAAGGTGCTGTATAGTACATGGCCCTGCAGCCTCTGGGATGCTTTGAATGTTCAAACAGTATTTGCAAAAAGGGCAGTTACCACATCAAGCTCCCTTCAGGAATGCAAGACTCACAGCTGGGAAGTTACCAGGTAATGGCAGGCATCCAGCATGCTGTCACTGCCTAGGCTAAGTGAGCCCATACTGGGGAAGCAGAGGCTCAGGCTGAGAGGTGAGCCTATCAGATGGCCTCTGGCCCTCCTGCCAAGAGTGATCACTGAGTTCTAGGAAAGGAGTTTGAATGAAAAGACATCAACTAAGAGAAAGAGAAGGGAAAATTTTTCTTATTTTTTTTAAGGAAAAAGGCAAGAGCAGGCATTGCTTTTTTATGATTAGAGGGAATTGGCACAGAGGCTGAGAAAGTCAATGGTAGCTATGGTTCGAAATACTACATCTCAGAGTTCAGTTTACTACCCCACAGAACACACTAGATTGTGGCTGCACTGTAAGAACAAGAACAAGAAGAACCAGGGATACTTTTGGGTAGGGATAAATAAACCAGGTCAACAGGGTGTTTCTTTATTCAGAATGTTCTCTATAAGATAGTAATGATCATGAGAGTCCTCTTAAGGCACATGGTTGGTACTAACCACTTCAGTACCAACTTCAGAACACAAGTTGGCATTCTTTTACTGTTACTTTTCTCAGGAAACCTTCACTGGCTGTCAAGTGACCAGAACTCATTCCATCCAATAGAGCAGTTAAAGAGTTCTATAAACTGGGCACGGTAGTGCATGCCTGTACTCCCAGCACTCAGGAGGCTGAGGCAGGAGTTCCCTGAAGTCCTGTTGGCCAAGCAACCCTGAGCTGGTGGAGGCTAAGCAATGCCTCTGGTAATACCTTTCTGTATTCCCCAGCCTCCTCCACATCTCCACCCTAGGCTGATGCCAACCTGAGCTACATAGTAAGACTCTGTCACAAAAAGCAAAACAATATCAAGTAAAGACCTGTTGAAAAAAAACATTCTACAGAGGGTTGGGGATGTAGCTCAGTGGTAGAGTATGCATGTGGCTCTGTGCTCCACCCCCAGTTTGGGGGGGTGGAGGGGAGAAGGACATGGCATAGGGTGGGAAAAAGAGAAAGTTACAAAACTAACAGAACTTTCCCTCTATTTCACAAAGAACAGGGATGACAAATGATAACACCCTTAATTCTGACATTTATGCTCCCTAAATGAGCTGAATGTACTCTGAATCTTTGCCTTACACTGGATGACTTAGGTCGGAGGCAAGAAGGAATGGCCTCCTTAAAAGCCCCCAAAATAGGAGCGGGGAGAGCTGGCAGAGTGGCTTACCTGGTAAAGCATCTGCCTAGCCAGCATGAAGCCCTAAGTTCAACCCCAGTGCTTTAAAAAAAAAAAAAAAAAGACACATAATATATAACCCTCTTTATTCTGCCAGGCGCCGGTGGCTCACACCTGTAATTCTAGCTACTCAGGAGGCAGAGAGAAGTATTGCGGTTCAAAGCCAACCTCAGCCAATAGTTCATGAGGCCCTATCTCAAAAAAACCCTTCACCAAAAAGGGCTAGTGGAATGGCTCAAGGTGTAGGCTCTGAATTCAAACCCCAATACCACAAAAAAAAAAAAAGGGGAGGATTTAAAAATGTAACAAGAGTGGGTATGGAGGTACTTGCTTGTAATCCCAGTTCTTGGGAGGCAGAGGCAGTTATATAGGTGGATCCAAGTTCAAAGTCAGCCTTAGCTACATAGTGATACCGTCTCAAAAGAAAAACAGGAGCTGCATTTAAGAAACAGTCCTCATTATGGCTACTCCCTCCCACTGCCAGAGGTAGAGTATAAAGAACTATTACTGAAGAAGCAACACCAACTCCAACTAGAGAAAGACAACAGTGTCATATACCATTACCCAGAAAAATACACTTGGCCAAATTACGTTGATGTTCATCACGTGTGAAAATAAAGCAGCAAGCAGGCAGTTCAGTGTCACACTGCCTTAGCCCTGCCTTAGTGGAGAACAGACTCAAATATACTAAGTCACAAATCACCTCTTAGCAGCTCAGACATGAACCTGGCTTCTGTTAGTGCTTAAATGTGCTCGACCAATGGTTGTGAAGATCTAGAGTTCAAAAGTGTTGACACTAGAAGGAAAATATGAAAAGAAGAAAAAATCCAAGGTAATTCACCAGTCTCTTTGCTCTTAACCTGTGCAAACATAAATGCAGCATTAAGAATACAATCCTAGGCAACTGTGGAGCCCATGGGGGAAAAAATCTTCACTTCACTAACCATTTGTCCCCTCATCTCCAGCAATCAGCATGAGGTTCACTAGAACTCTGACACAAGCATCACTCCCTACATGGGATACTGAAACTCAGAACAGAAAGAAACAGTGCATGATAAATAAAGCTGGGCGACATACACTCTTGGATCTTCTTGACCAACTTTGTACAGTTCTGCTTTATGAGATTTTGTGTTAAAATAAATTTTAAAAAGAAAGCACATTTAAAACATCAGGTATTGGTGATCAGATTAGTTAGAAGTATTTTTATTATAAATCTCAGGATTTAAGATGTAATGTTACACAACTAAGATAAATTTGAGATGGCCTCTTATTAAGCACGTGAGCCCTGCAGGTAGCACTGTGGCCCACAGGCACAGAAGGACACATTCCACCCCTCCTTGTCCCTGAGGGATGGGAGCAACCACGTCAAAGATTATGCTGGATTGGGTCATTCTGGTTTGTCACCCTGCCATTTGGGCTGTGAAGAGCTCAAAGCCAGGAGCTGATGGCTCATGCCTGAAATCTTAGCTATTTGGGAGGCTGAGATGGAAGATTGTAGTTCGAGGCTGGCCCAGGCAAGTAATTTGGGAGACTCCATCTACAAAATAACAAGAACAAAATGGACTGGAGGAGTGGCTGAAGTGGTAGAGCCTGGTTTGCAAGCATGAAGCCCTGAGTTCAAACCTTAGTTTCACCCAAAAAAAAAAAAAATTCAGGCATAGGTCTCCATTTTTGAACACTAAAGCCCAAACGAGAACCTCATCAACAGCCTCATTTTTTGAAATTCAAGCTTCCCAGTTTTCAGTTTTCCCAGTTTTTAGTTTAGTGATACTTAGGATCTTATTTGAATGATAGTGCATTTAATAAGGGTTATGATCCAAGTGGTTCTGTATTACATTCCTCACCACATGTCAAGACACCTAGCAAGGAACTAGATGATCACTCCTAAGGCTGAGATCAGATTGTGGGAAAAATACACTAACCGAGGGCCATAGACAGTAAGCATCCGACCACAGAGGTGTCTATGGCAAGTCACCACAGGTACATGGGGTGGCGGACTGACAAAGAGGGCTGGAAGAGACCTGGAGAAGTCACCTGCCTCTAATCAAGACCAGTGTCTCTGTAGCCAGTAAGTGCCCTAGTACTCACAGGTCAGGAAACCCCAGGTCTCTTTTATGTTGCCTTCATATATTTGTCTTTTAAAAGGTTTCTAAAGGCAGCATCTGTGCAAGGGAGGACACTTCAGGGGCTCCTGGTACGTTCCAGAAGTACAGGGCAAGCCCTCTTCTGTGGGATTGGAAGACACAAGGGAGAAGAGTTGCAGTGCTGCAGTGCAATACCTGAGAGGTGGTGTGATGCGAAAGAGCACCCCATACAGGTAAGGGGAGCCAGAAAGGAGCAGCTGTAGAGCACAGTGTGTTCATCAGGAAAGAGAAAAACTCCACCAAGATAAATGGCTAGCAAGTCCACAGCTCCAGAGCCACAGCTAAGCCCTCTAGGCTGGGGATCTTACTCCAGGTTCTCTCTTTATCTATCTATCTATCTATCTATCTATCTATCTAGTACTACAGACTGACCTCAGGGGCCTTGTGCTTGCTAGGGAAACCCTCTACCACTTGTGCCAAGCCCCAGCCCCCAGATTCTCTTTAGATGAACCCTTTCCCTCTAAAGCAATGGCCCTCAACAGGATTTAGCCCACAGGGGACATCTGGCAATATCAGAGACAGTTTTGGTTGTCCTCACTGAGTGGGGTGCTACTGGCATCTTGTAGGTAGAAGCCAGGGATGTTGCTGACCATCCTCAATGCACAGGACAGAATCCTACAACAAGGAATTACTGAAATGTCAATAGTGCCATGGTTGAGAAACCCATTCTACAGGGAGGAATTTACTCATACTATTCTGAATCTAGCATGAGCCCAGGCCCTCAGAATGGATGAGCAGACCAATGTGAACGCCCTCTACTTCAAGCCCTATCTGTGGATCAAGCCACACTGTCTTGCTGAGTAAAAAAGCTCCAATTCTTCCAGAGTGTCCCACAATGTCCAGTCACCTGCTGGCAATTCAAATTCCAGCCAGTACAACTAAAACCTTAGATCCTTTTTGTCTTCTTTCTCTTCTTCTGTAAAAGCTGTTACTTCTTTCTCAGAGCCAGTGCAACCCCAAATGCCACTGCTAGGATGGCCACAGCAGCAGCGCCTCCAAACAGCAGTGCAGCCTTGCCCTCTGAGGGCAGGGCAGCTTTGGCCTCCCGGGTGGGGGTGGCCTCCTGGCTGAGACTCTCTTTCCTGATGCCTGTCTCCTTCTCACTTAACAGGGCAGGAGACCCCACCCCCTCCACATCAGCAGATTCCACTGTTGCTGCTACCTCTTCTTCATCAAGTTCCACAAAGACAGATGGCACAGGGCTGGCTTTCTCAACTGCAATCATTTCTGTGTCGGGTTCTCTGATCTCCAGCAAAGATGTGGCAGTGATATGTGGAAGCAAGGGAACAGGGGCTCCAGAGAAGGCTTCCTGTGGGTCCCTCATTGGTAAGGTGAGAGCAGCCCCACCCGCCTCCTCTGCACTCTCAGGGATCTCTTCTTTCTCCACATGCACAATGTCTGAGTTAGAAGAGTTGTTCTCGCTCCTCTCTCCAGCTCCGTTGCTATCTAAACTCTTGACTTCAGGATCCATTGCGATCTGCTGCCAGGACTCAGGACCGAGGGACACCGGTAGACTTTCCGTGTGCCAACTCTGGCTAGCAGATAGTGAGACAGGCAGGCTCTCTGACTGCCAAGAAGTTGTCACAGTTGGAGACTCTGGGGGACTGACTTGTCCAGAGTTGTCACTGGGCAGAATATAAATGTCATTACTGTCTTCTGCAATGATTCCAGGATATTCTTCTTCCTCAGACTCAAGACTAAAGACAGTGCCCTAGACAAGTAGAAGGAGAGTCAGTCAGTATTTTAAAAATAGTTGTCAACCTGGAAAAACAAATTCTTTCCTAAACTGAAGTTCCCATGGATTACTTTAGACCTAGACCTACATGGTTTCTGAATGAAATGCATTTATTTGAAGGCCAATGTACAGCAAGATTTTTTTTTTTTTTTGAGGCAGGGTCTCACAATGTAGCCCAGGCTGGCCTGTACTCACTGTGTAGCTCAGGCTGACCCTGAACTTTTGATTCTCCTGCCTCAGCTTCCTAAGTGCTAGCATTACAAGGGTATACCACCACTCCTAGCAAAAAGGAATTTTTAGCTGGTTTCCTTGACACTAAAAAATCAAAAGTTAATTTATATTTAGTATAATTTGCATATAGCCAATGCAATGCTTAATGCAAAAATAGAGGAAACAAAAGCGAGACCTGTGTACCAGGAGTCTATCACACAGTAGGGTATGAAAAATAAAGCCACGCCACAGCTGAAATGCTAGTAAGCGTTCAGATAGAAAAATGACTTCTTTTGTTGGAGGTGAGAGAAGGCAGGAAATGAAAGAATGTTGCATGGAGGAATGGTTATTTACGCTTGGTTTCTGAAGAATGGGGAAGGCCATGTACAACATCATACCAGCAAAAGAAAAGAGCTGTAAAAAGGGGAGTTTATTTATTTTAAAAAGCTTACTTTTGTTTTCATGAAACATGGTCTTGCTATGTAGTCCAGTCTGGCCTCTAACTCACAATCCTCCTGCCTCGGTTCTCGTGAGTTTTGGGATTACAAGCATGTGCCACTATGCCCAGCAAGTAGCCCAATTTAATTAGTTCATTGGGTATATGAAGAATAGAAATTTTGGTTAGAATAGAACCATAGAGGAATGTGACTGATAGAGAAGTGGAAATAGGGAATCTATTTCACAGCCAACAGTCATTGTAGTTTTTGATATACAAATTGTATTCAGAATTCTGCATTAAAAATAACTGAGCCTGGCATTGGTGGCTCACGCCTGTAATTCTAGCTACTCAGGAAGCAGAAGAGACAGAGATCAGGAGGAATGAGGTTTGAAGGCAGTTAGGCAAATAGTTTGTGAGCCCCTATCTCAAAAAGACCCATCACAAAAAAAGGGCTGGTGGAGTGGCTCAAGATGTAGGCACTGAGTTCAAGCCCCAGTACCGCAAACAAAACAAAACTTCTCTGGACAAAAAAGAAAAACTTCTGGTGGTCTGGGTGGAGTGGCTCAAGTGCCTGCCTAGCAAGCGTGAGGCCCTGAGTATAGCCAAAAAGAAAATAAGGAAAAATAACTCTGAAAGGCTGTGGGGGAAAGGGGGGTGCAGCTTGGTGGTAGGAGAGTCTGCATAGCATGCATGAGACCCTGAGTTCCATTCCCAGCTGGGATGGGGTGGCGGGGGCAGGAGGATCACTTGAGTCCAGAAGTTTGGAGCCACAGTCTGGGCAACATAGTGAAGCCCCAACTCAAACAAAACAAAACAAAACATTACTCTGATACCATGCCAGAACAGAGACATAAGAAATGCTGGGACTCTTGCTTCTTTCTTTAGCAAAAGTGACAAAGACAAATACTGGAGACCTTCATTTTTATTTAACAGAAGCACTGTGTGCCTATGACTCATCAAGTGCCAGGTTACTCACTAGGGCTACAAGGAAAAACAAGACTCATTTTTGAGTTGGGCACCAGTGGTTCACACCTATTATCTTTGCTATCTTGGGAGACTGAGATTGGGAGGATCAAGGTTCAAGGCCAGCCTGGGCAAATAGTTTGCAAGACCCCATCTCCAAAATAACCAGAGCAAAATGAACTGGAGATGTGGTTCAAGTGCTAGAGCACCTGCTTTGCAAGTACAAAGCCTGAGCTCAAACCCCAGTCCCACTGAAAGAAAAAAAAAAAAAAAAAAAGATTCATTTTTGTTCTTAGAAAACGTACTGTCCAGCTAAGAAGACACATATGAAGAATTAATTTCAATACAATACTAAGCTTTAAAATAGGTATCTGAACAGGTGCTAGGCAAACCTGGAGGTTAAGACATCGTAAGAAAGGCAGGAAGAGAATAATGGATTATAATGTCATAGAAAGCTAGAGAGTTTTACAAGAAGGCTGACACTCATAAATGGTACATAAAGTTTAAGAAGGGCACATAAAACACATAATTTCTACTTTATGAGTACAGCTGCTATTCATGTGTAATAAAATAATTCTCTTCTTCAAACAAGACCAACACCTGTGCACACCAAGGATCAGTCACACACACACACATAAACACACACAAAGCCAGAGATACAAGCAGGCAAATTCCATGATCATACTGTCAACATTCTATTTCTGCCCACTTTCTAGCTCAACCTTTGATCTTAGGAAGATGTCCTGATGGGCATCAGAGCCAGTCATGAATATGAAATAAGCAGAGAGGAAAAGTAGTACAGCAACTAAAAACAAAAAAAATTGTAGGAAAAAAAAGAACTGGTTTGAATTCCATCTCTTGATTTGGCTGTCTTGCCTAACCTTCAAACTTCGATTTCTTCACAAACAAAACAGGGATGACAGAAAAGATTGTTTTAAAAATTAAGTATAATGCCAGGCACCGGTGGCTCACGCCTATAATCCTAGTTACTCAGACGGCTGAGATAAGGAGGATCAAGGTTCAAGGCCAGTCTGAGTAAATAGTTTTACAGACCTCATCTCCAAAATAACCAGAGCAAAATGGACTGGATGTGTAGTTCAAGCACTAGAGCCCCTGCTTTACAAGTATGAAGCCCTTAGTTAAATTCCCACTCCCACCAAAAAAAAAAAAAAAAAAAAATTAGGTGTACTATAGTCCTTAGCATAGTACCGAGTACATAGAAACTAATTGACAAATGATGCTACTTTATCACTATTATGATTATTGTGTGTGTTGTCATTGTTTTAGTGTCTTTTTGATAGTATGGCAGTAGAACAAAGAACTATTCTAAAATACCACCAGGCCAGGCCTGGCAGGCTAGTGTGTGCAGTAAAGACAGGAGGATCACTTGAGTCCAGGAGTTAAACACCAGCCTGGGCAAAACAGTGAGACCCCATCTCAAAAATAAATAAAGAAATTAATTAGTTAAAAAATTTGTAAAAGCCCAAATAGGTAGAATAAAAAAAGAAAAAACGATTTGAAACAATATCCTCCTCTAAGAAGGGTGATCTATAAATTTCTCCCTCTTCCTCCATCTCTTCTAAAAGTAGAGATTTCACAAAAATAGAAAGCAGAGTCTCTCCTTAGAAATTCCAATAGTATACAATTAGGAAACTGGAAGGGTGGGTGGCTTTGAGGGGAGAATAGGCTTCTGGGGGTGGCACGCTCCTGTTAGCTCTGCACTCAGGAATCTGAGGCAGGAGAATCTCAATTGAGGCCAGCTTGGGCTACGTAATGAGACCCTGTCTCTAAAAAAGGGGGCAGGTTGGCTAGGGGCATGGCTCAAATGGTAAAGCAACCTACCCTGCAAGTGCAAGGCCCTGAGTTCAAACCCCAGTACCAAAAAAAAAAAAAAAAACCCCAAAACAAAACAAGAAAACCCAAGCAAACAAAAAAAAGTGTGTGGAGGGGTGGTTGTTTCTAGCCCTCCAACCTTTTGAGGATGACCCTTGTCTTGGGGAGTTTCCTTTGAATCTAGACTACTGGAAAGATCCAGAAGAGGTGAGAGAGAGAAAGAGGAAGGGAAGGAGAGAGGCAAGTAGAGGGGAAAAGGGTTTGGGGATTGTTGGTTCAGTTCAGAAAACAAAAAACAGAGATGACTGACTAGAAGCTGTGATGAAGTCTTAAGCATGTGAATTGGCAGCACTTTCATTAGTAAGTGGAGTTTTTGTTTTTAAACTTTGGGCCTTGCACATGCCAGGCAAGCCCTTCCACCAATAAACCACGTCCCTTAGTCCATTAATGTATTTAATACAGAGGATTTGAAGCAGCCTTTAATACCTTCAGGAAAGGTTAAAAATATGTATTAATCCAAAGTAGGCAAAAATTAAAAAGGAAGTAAGACCATATCATATGGTAACTCTCCACAAAAACCTATCATGTTCCTGCCTAGCAAGCATGAGGCTCTGAGTTCAAACTCCAGTACCACAAAACAAATCTACAATGTTATTGAGAGAAATTAAAGATGTCCTAAATAATTAAAAGGCTATATATAGTATATGCATAGACTGGAACACAGAAGAATATAAAAAGATGTTAATTATTTCCAGGTTAACCTATTACTGCAATATAATCTTCAATATAAAATTCCACCAGGCTCTTTTCTTTCTTTTATTGGCAGTATTGGTGTTTGAACTCAGAGCCTCACACTTGCTCTACCACTTAAGACACTCGACCAGCCCTTTTTTTTTTTTGGTGACAGGTTTTATCGAGATAGGGTCTCTTAAATTATTTGCCTAGGCTGGCTTTGAACCTTGATCCTCCTGATCTCTACCTCATGAATACCTAGGGTTATAGGCATGAGTCACTAGAACCTGGCTCTTTCTTTCTTTCCTTCCTCTCCCTCATCCCCACTCTTTTTTCTTTTTGCAGTACTGGATTATAAACTCAGGACTTTGTACTTGCTAGGCAGGCACTCCTCTACCTGAGTCACGTCTCCAGTCCTTCTTGCTCTGGTTATTTTGGAGATAAGGTGTTACTTTTTGCCCAGGATGGCCTGTCCTGTGGTCCTCTGATTTTAGATTGCTGGGATGACAGATACACCCTATCATGCCCAGCTTTTATCAATTGAGATGGGTTCTCATGAACATTTTTTGCCCAAGTTGACCTGGAACTGTGATCCTCCTGATGACTCCCAAGTAGTAGGATTACAGGCGTGAACTACTGGCACCCAGCTAAAATTCACCATTTTAAAGTGTACAATATAGTGCTTTTTAGTACATTCACAATGCTGTGCAACCACACTGGTATTTATGTTTTCCCTTTTTATGCTTGCCTCATTTCATAAAATGTTTTATCATACTCTTGCTAAGTCTGACAAGACCTC